GAAGGACTACTCTACACTATCCTTTTTTTTTTTTTAATTTATTATTTATTGGAGTACAGTGATTTGCAACATTGTGTTAGTTTCTGCTATAAGACAAATTGAATCAGTTATACGTATACATATATCCACTCCTTTTCAGATTCTATTCCTATAAATGTCATTACAGTTATTGAGTGGAATTTCCTGTGCTATACAGGAGGTTCTTATCATCTCTTTTATATACACTGCTGTTGCTTAGTTTCTTCAGTTGTGTTAGACTCTGTGTGACCCTATGGACTGTAGCGCTCCAGGATCCTCTGTCCATGGAACTTTCCAGGCAAGAATACTGGAGTGGGTTGCCATGCCTTCCTCCAGGGTATCTTCTCAAACCAGGGATCAAACCTGGGTTTCCTTCATTGCAGGAAGATTCTTTACCCTTGAGCCACTAGGGAAGCCCCTATTTTATACATGAAGTGAAGTGAAAGTTGCTCCTTGGGATCCCATGGACTGTAGCTTGCCAGGCTCCTCTCCATGGAATTCTCCAGGCAAGCTTCTGGAGTGAGTAGCTGTTCTCATCTCCAGATCTTCCTAACCCATGGGTCAAATCCAGGCCTCCCTCATTACAGGTGAATTCTTTACCATCTACACCATCAGGGAAGCCCAAGAATACTGGAGTGGGTAGCCTACCCTTTCTACAGCGGATCTTCCTGACTCAGGAATCAAATTGGTGTCCCTGAACTGCAGGAAGATTCTTTACCAGCTGAGTTGTGCATATATTAATGTCAGTCTCCCGATCTGTCCCTGTCCCACTTTGCCTTTTTGTAACCATAAGTATGTTTTCTACTCTGACTCTATTTCTGGTTTGTAAATAGGATTATATGTGGAATCTGAAAAAAAAAAACAAAAAAAGAAAGAAAAGTGGTACAAACTACATTATCTTTAAATGAGATGAACTAAATCTGAAAACAGACAAGGAGAAAAACTTTTTAGACAAGAATTTTAAAACTAGATTTTTAAAAATCCATTCCTAAATCAACATTGAATCTAAAAGCAAAAATACTAACATTATAGAAGACTATGACAAAAAGAATAAAGATACATATAAAAACTTTTTCAGCCAAGTATTTATAATCTTATTAAATAATCATATTTAATGAAAATAAGCATACTAATTTAAAAAGTTAGAAGTTATTTTAGATTAAAACACTGAAATCAAACTCTGTGCTGTATTAAGTTCAGATACTTAAGAGTTGCAGAAGATTTGAGCCAATTTTTGTATTATTTCCATTGAAAATTTCCTTTAGAACCTGAATGCTTAATGTAATATAATCTTTCATTTAACACTCACAATTATAAAAAGGAAAGAAACAATGATTGTGTTTTTATGTGTGTCTAATTTTTTCATCATATTTTTCTGTGCTTTCACTTTATATATGTTCTTTTGACATTAGGCTGGCCTAAAAGTTCATTTATTTTTTCCCATAAGATAGTTGTAGTCTGTTTAATTGTCTTTAACTTCATTCAGAACAATTCTGTTAGATTTTATTATAACAGCTGTCATCACAGTGTGCAGTTTTTAGAAAAAAAATACTTATATAAATTGGTGAATTTTTATGTAGCCTTTTAATATTGAAGATGGAATACAAAATGCAATATTTTTGGTACCTTTTGTGTTATTATTTCAAGAAAGGTAAAACCACAACTGAAACACAAAAATATATTTATACCATGTATAGAGAAGATACTGGGACTGATCAAATGTGTCAAAAGTGTTTTGCAAAGTTTTGTACTGGAGATTTCTTGCTGGACGATGCTCCATGGTTGGGTAGGCCAGTTGCAGTTGATAGTCATCAAATTGAGACACTAACTGAAAAAATCAATGGGAGATAGCTGATACACTCAACATATCCAAATAAAGTGCTGAAAATCATTTGCACCAACTTGGTTATGTTAATCTTTTTGGTGTTTCTATTCTACATAAGTTCAGGGGAAAAAAAAAATCCTCCTGACTACACTTCCACATGTGATTCTTTATTTAAACATATAGAGAAGCATTCCATTTTTAAAACAAATTGTGACAGGCAATGAAATGTGGATACTGTGCAATCATGTGATACAGAAGTGACAATGGGGCAAGCGAAAGGAACCACCACCAACCACACCAAAGATCGGTCTTCATCCAAAGGATGTGATGCCCTGTATATGGTGGGATTGAAAGGTTCTATTATGAACTCCTTCTGAAAAATCAAAGGATTAATTCTAAAAAGTATTCCTCCTAATTAGACCAACCAAAAGCAGCACCAGATGTAAAATGTCCAGAATTAGTCAGAAAATGCATAATCTTCCATCAGGATAACATAAGACTGCATGTTTCTTTGAGGACTAGGCGAAAACTGTTAAAGCTTTACATTTGCCCTATTCACCAGACATTGTACCTCTGGGTGTCCATTTATTTCGATCTTTACAGAATTCTCTTAATGGAAAAAAATTCTATTCCCTGTGAAGCTGTAAAAGGCACCTGGAATAGTTCTTTGCTCGAGAAAATAAAAAGGTCTGGGAAGATTGGATTATGAAGTTTCTTGAAAAATGGCAGAAGGTAGTGGAACAAAATGGTGAATACGATGTTCAATAAAGTTCTTTGTGAAAATGAAAAATGTGTCTTTTATTTTTAACTTAAAAATTTGAAGGAACTTTTTAACCAACCCAATACATACTCGTGTTTAATTCAGCATATTTTTTATTTACTACATACATGATTATTAAAATTTTCTGTTATTTTTATATTGTTATAATTTAAATTATTGTTCTTTGCCCATTGTATCCATTATTTTTTTCACCTCTTTCTATATTCTCTGTACAGACAGTTCCGCATTTTTATTGCCTTATTCTAAATAAAATTGGCTGCATAAAATAAATAGCACCTTCACATTTACATACATTAACTTAAATGAAAAGCAATCTATTGGTATGTATTTCCAATACATATACCATTAGAAAGATCATTTTACATACTTGAACAATACTTGAAATAAATAAGAAAAACATATTATCATAATTGAACTGCCCGATGGCAAGAACATTCTATTAACTACAAACTAGAATGCATATGTACAGGAAGCTTAATATATAAAAATGTTTAGTTTAAGAGCACTGAAGAAAAAATGACCTATGTTTTGCTGATCTAAATGTGAAATATTATACAAATTATAGAAACACTATAGACAGTTTTAATGATACCTAATATTTTTTCTAGAAAGTTTGTTTTGAATTATATTATCTGTAACTTATTTTGGGAAATAAATACAAATATACTTTAAAATTAAACTTTGGTCCAATACCTTTTTATCACATCATTATTTATTCTCACTAAAAATGAAAATAAAACAGGAAAATGAAAACAAGGCATATCTTCACAGTCTTGACGCATGAATGGTTCTGAACCCCTCTCTTCTATGTGTTAACATCTATTCACTTTTTAGATAAAAGTTCAGTTATGTATTCAAAGTCTTCCCTGATCTCCCTGATTACAACAAATCCCTCCTTTTAACTCTAAAATTAAATATTGCATAGATCCTCCTATGCAATATTTAGAATATATTTAATATAATTACATTGTATTAATAAATATATTATATAATATTCATATTAAATTTTATGAACTACATTATACAATATGATGCAATTTCTATCATACCTTTGACAATGAATGTTTATAATATTAGAAAAGTCTTTAAATATATTCTTATATTAAAAAAATCCAAGATTCAAAATGAGTAATTACACTAAAGTGTATTTGTAAATGTGTTTACAAAAGTAAACACAATTTATTGGATTGGTCCAAAAGTAGTTTCCAATTTCTCCATAAGAAGTTACAGGAAAACATGAATGGATTTTTTTTTTCTTTTTTTGGCCAACCCAATACATAAAACTAGAAGAAATGCAACTATTAATATAGATAATGAGCTTATTAGAAAACTCCATTTTCATTATTTTCTATATTCCAACTTCTCCACTATAAACAAGGTGAATTCAGAACTCTGCTTCAAATTCCATTTTGTCCATTACTCTTCAAGATTTGACAAATTATGTAAAATATATATATATGTATATATATTTTACCAAACAGTGAGAAAAATAGTATTTGCTCCATGTATTTGTTTTTAATGTTAAAATATATAAAACACTTAAAATACTGTGTGTTGCAAAACATCAATGCAAAAATAAAAATTATTATTTTTTAAATTTAATTTATTTATTTTAATTGGAGGCTAATTATTTGAAATATTGTAGTGGTTTTTCCCATACATTGGCATGAAAACATTATTATTAGCATTTTTCTTTTTATTGTTGAACATTAAAAAGAGATATTATTGATTTCATTTACATACTAGGTCATACTAATGTGCTTTTACAGTGAGAAACAAGTGGCTTCCCAAGCGGTCCAGTGGTTAAGAATCCACCTTGCAATGCAGGGGGCACTGGCCGGCCTCTGGTCTGGGACGATCCCACCTGGTGCAGAGCCACACAGCCTGGACGTCACAGCTATTGAGCCTGTTCTCTAGGGCCCTGAAGCCACAACTGCTGAGGCCACTGTGCCTAGAGCCTGTGCTCTGCAACAAGGGAAGCCCCCACAGCAAGAAGCCCCCACACCACAGCTAGAGAGAAGCCTGTGCATAGGAAAGAGGACTCAATGCAGCCAAAAACAAAACTAAATTAATTCATTAAAAATTAGTGACAAACAAGATAGAGCAAATCTGCTTTAAAAAAGTTTAATAATAAAAATTATGAATAGACTCCATTTATATTCTAAATATCATTAGGTCACTAGAAGAAATGTGTATGTAGAAAGCAAGAATAGTACCATCTCTGCAGATTGCAAAAGTACATTCCAAAAGCTCAAATACATATCACACAGTGCTTTCAGTTTAGAGGGTAGTGATAGCCAATAAACCTTGCCTGAATTATGTCTTCAGTATGTAAATCCAAAAAATGAGTGTTGTTTATCTTTTTCTGCTTTCTAGCATTTGGATACAGGCAAGTCGCAGTATCTGCTATCAATTTTCTGGTATGTATTATTTATACTATTTCCTATTCATGCTCTAAATCGTGGCATTATTATGAATTCAAATAGACTACACTTGAGAATTTTTCATGTAGAAAATATGATTTATTTTTATACATATACACAATGGTATTAAATGAAATAAATCAAATAACTTCCCATAATCAAGTCATTAGTCTCTAAGTCTTTTATTCAAAATGTTCTACTCATCTTAAAGGATGATTAGAATTATTTGAAATACAATAAAATTTGGGAAAAAATTAAACTTAGCAATTCTTCCTGTTGTCTTCATATTTACCAACTTACAAACTGCTAAGAGCAAAAAATTTTACAAGTCTACCTGATGATCAACTAAAATAGTTTGTCTTAATTGTTAAGTAATTCTGAATGAAAATAAAGTCTATTTTTGTGACTGAAACAGGGCCCTTTACTAATTGTCCTCTATCCAGGTCTTTAGATTGTTCTATTTAACTTCACATATGCATTACCTGAATCTGATATGAATCAATCTGATTACAACAGATTCTTCATAATTTCTGAAGTACATTAATTACTGTATTAGGTACATATTTAGTTCTGCATGTCATATATTAATTCCATGCTTTTATTCTTCATTCATGTTTTCCCTCATTCTTGCCCATGATAGATTAACTCACTCTATTCCTGTCCCTAATACACTGATAAACACACATGATTCACATATATGACAAAGTCCTTTGTGAAGTTTCTACTGGACATACCCCACCATTTCATACAGGCACAAATTGAACATTTACCTTTGTAAAAAGCTATCTATGAACCTCTGTATGTGTGTATACCGACTCAATGGACATGAGTGTGAATAAGCTCCAGGAGTTGGTAAAGGACCAGGAAGCCTGGCATGCTGCAGTCCATGGGGTCGACCCACAAAGAGTCAGACACAACTGAGTGACTGAACTGATCTATGATGATCTATGAATTGATCTATATATATCTATATCCAAATATATATATGTGTGTGTGTATACACATAGACTTAATAATTTAGTTAAGAACACACACTACTGTGCTGACTGTGAGAGGGACAGGTTGTGCCACTGTCTTTCTAGCACCTAGTATGAAAGCTGTTTTAAATATTCCTCAATAGAAAAAGGAACCATCCTACAGAGCTGGTAGGAACGTAAATTGGTGCAGTCACTATGGAAAACAGTATGGAGGTTTCTTAAAGAACTGAAACTAGAGTTACCATTTGTTTCAACAATTGCCCTCCAGGACATACATCTGGAGAAAACTCTAATTCAAAAATACACATGCATCCCAATATTCATACTAGCACTATTTACAATAGCTAAGACATGAAGCAATCTAAGAGTCTACTGACAGAGGAATGGATAAAGAACATGTAGTATATATAAGTATACATTTATGGGATATTATTCTGTCATAAGAAAGAATTAAACAATGCCATTGGCAGCAACATGGATGGACATAGTAGTTTGGGATTGCAGATGCAAACAGCTGTGTATGAACTACACGGACCTGCTGTATAGCACAGAGACAATAGTCAATAAGTTAAGTGAAGTTGCTCAGTTGTGTCCGACTCTTTGTGACCACATGAACTGTAGCTTACCAGGCTCCTCCATCCATGGGATTTTCCAGACAAGAATACTGGACTGGGTTACCGTTTCCTTCTCCAGGGGATCTTCCTAACCCAGAGATCGGACCTGGGTCTCCCGCATTGCAGGTAGACGCTTTACAGTCTGAGCCACCAGGGAAGCCAAGCTATAATATACAATAGTCAATATCTTATAATAAACTATAGTGGGAAAGTACAAAAAAACAAATGAAATAAAAGGTTCACTAGTCCTAGTACTTCTTAATAATAATGTAGGTAAGATACATTTAACTTTTACAAATAGGAGAGTAAGATATAAATTTTAGGAAATTGATTCTAAAAGAGAATACAACAACTAATGTGTTTATTCAGTTCAGTTCAGTCGCTCAGTCGTGTCCAACTCTTGCAACCCCATGAATCGCAGCATGCCAGGCGAAACTGTTCATCACAAACTCCCGGAGTTTACTCAAACTCATGCCCATTGAATCGGTGATGCCATCCAGCCATCTCATCCTCTGTTGTCCCCTTCTCCTCCTGCCCCAATCCCTCCCAGCATCAGGGTCTTTTCCAACAAGTCAACACTTCGCATGAGGTGGCCAAAGTATTGGAGTAGCAGCTTCAGCATCAGTCCTTCCAATGAACATCCAGGACTGATCTCCTTTAGGATGGACTGGTTGGATCTCCTTGCTGTCCAAGGGACTCTCAGGAGTCTTCTCCAACACCACAGTTCAAAAGCATCAATTCTTCAGCACTCAAATTTCTTCATAGTCCAACTCTCACATCCATACATGACCACTGGAAAAACCATAGCCTTGACCAGACAGACTTTTGTTGGCAAAGTAATGTCTCTGCTTTTTAAAATGCTATCTAGGTTGGTCATAACTTTCCTTCCAAGGAGTAAATGTCTTTTAATTTCATGGCTGCAATCACCATCTGCAGTGATTTGGGAGCCCCCCAAAATAAAGCCTGGCATTGTTTCCACTGTCTCCCCATCTATTTCCCATGAGGTGATGGGACCAGATGCCATGATCTTAGTTTTCTGAATGTTGAGCTTTAAGCCAACTTTTTCACTCTCCTCTTTCACTTTCATCAAGAGGCTTTTTAGTTCCTCTTCACTCTCTGCCATAAGGGTGGTGTCATCTGCATATATGAGGTTATTGATATTTCTTCTGGCTATCTTGATTCCAGCTTGTGCTTCTTCCAGCCCAGTGTTTCTCATGATGTACTCTGCATATAAGTTAAATAAGCAGGGTGACAATATATAGCCTTGACATACTCCTTTTCCTATTTGAAACCAGTCTGTTGTTCCATGTCCAGTTCTAACTGTTTCTTCCTGACCTGCATACAGGGTTTCGCAAGAGGCAGGTCAGGTAGTCTGATATCCCCATCTCCTTCAGAATTTTCCACAGTTTATTGTGATCCACACAGTCGAAGGCTTTGGCATAGTCAATAAAGCAGAAATATATGTTTTCTGGAACTTTCTTGCTTTTTCAATGATCCAGCGGATGTTGGCAATTTGATCTCTGGTTCTTCTGCCTTTTCTAAAACCAGCTTGAACATCTGGCACTTCACAATTCATGTATTGCTGAAGCCTGGCTTGGACAATTTTGGACATTACTTTATTAGCATGTGAGATGGGTGCAATTGTGCAGTAGTTTGAGTGTTCTTTGGGATTGCCTTTCTTAGGGATTGGAATGAAAACTGACCTTTTCCAGCCCTGTGGTCACTGCTGAGTTTTCCAAATTTGCTGGCATATTGAGTGCAGCACTTTCACAGCATCATCTTTCAGGATTCGAAAAAGCTCAACTGGAATTCCATCACCTCCACTAGCTTTGTTCATAGTGATGCTTTCTAAGGCCCACTTGACTTCACATTCCAGGATGTCTGGCTCTAGGTCAGTGATCACACCATTGTGGTTATCTCGGTAGTGAGGATTTTTTTGTACACTTCTTCTGTGTATTCTTGCCACCTCTTCTTAATATCTGCTGCTTCTGTTAGGTCCATACCATTTCTGTCCTTTATCGAACCCATCTTTGCCTGAAATTTTCCCTTGATTTCCCTAATTTTCTTGAAGAGATCTCTAGTCTTTCCCATTCTGTTGTTTTCCTCTATTTCTTTGCATTGATCACTGAGGAAGGCTTTCTTATCTCTCTTGGCTATTCTTTGGAAATCTGCATTCAAATGGGAATATCTTTCATTTTCTCCTTTGCTTTTTGCTTCTCTTCTTTTCACAGCTATTTGTAAGGCCTCCTCAGACAATCATTTTGCCTTTTTGCATTTCTTTTGCATGGGGATGATCTTGATCCATGTCTCCTGTACAGTGTCATGAATCTCCATCCATAGTTCATCAGGCTATCTGTCTATCAGATCTAGTCCCTTAAATCTGTTTCTCACTTCCACTGTATAGTCACAAGGGATTTGATTTATGTCATACCTGAATGATCTAGTTGTTTTCCCTACTTTCTTCAGTTTAAGTCTGAATTTGGCAGCACAGTGTTCATGATCTGAGCCACAGTCAGCTCCTGGTCTTGTTTTTGCTGACTGTATAGAGCTTCTCCATCTTTGGCTGCAAAGAATATAATCAATCTGATTTTGGTGTTAACCATCTGGTGATGTCCATGTGTAGAGTCTTCTCTTGTGTTGTTGGAAGAGGGTGTTTGCTATGACCAGTGCATTCTCTTGGCAAAACTCTATTAGCCTTTGCCCTGCTTCAGTCCATTCTCCAAGGCCAAATTTGCCTGTTACTCCAGGTGTTTCTTGACTTCCTACTTTTGCATTCGGGTCCCCTATAATGAAAAGGACATCTTTTTTGGGGGTTTTAGTTCTAAAAGATCTTGTAGGTCTTCATAGAACCGTTCAACTTCAGCTTCTTCAGCATTACTGGTTGGGGCATAGTCATGGATTACCGTGATATTCAATGGTTTGCCTTGGAAATGAACAGAGATCATTCTGTCATTTTTGAGATTGTATCCAAGTACTGCATTTTGGACTCTTTTGTTGACCGTGATGGCTACTCCATTTCTTTAAGGGATTCCTGCCCACAGTAGTAGATATAATGGTCATCCTAGTTAAATTCACCCATTCTAGTCCATTTTAGTTTGCTGATTCCTAGAATGTCGACATTCATTCCTTGCCATCTCCTGTTTGACCACTTCCAATTTGCCTTGATTCATGGACCTAACATTCCAGGTTCCTATGCAATATTGCTCTTTACACCATCGGACCTTGCCTCTATCACCAGTCCCATCCACCACTGGGTATTGTTTTTGCTTTGGCGCCATCCCTTCATTCTTTCTGGAGTTACTTCTCCACTGATCTCCAGTAGCATATTTGGCACCTACCGACCTGGGGAGTTCCTCTTTCAGTTTCCTATCATTTTGCCTTCTCATACTTTTCATGGGGTTCTCAA